GTTTTGAGTAAAAATAATCGAGCATCAAGGACATAATGAATCGGAACTGATTAAAAAATACTTCTTGACACTGAACTGAACCTTTGTTTGCATAACCTATTGAAAATTAATTAATATAATAAATTGAAGACAAGAGTTAGAACACAAAAAAAAGATAAATAAGAATTAATATTTGTTGTGAAGTAATAGAACCAAAAACATGACAATTAAAACGTTTGAGAAACCGTTAGCATTCTCTAATAATATTTATTTATTTATTTTACCTTCTGTAGGTTCTAATAACCTATTTACAACAAATATACAAGGATAAAAATATATAACTTAAATATTCTTTTGGAAATCCTTCTTCCTTTGAGGACCAACGTGGCCCTATTTTCATTGTTTAAAAAACGCAATGATGCAATTTCGTAGCCAAATGGGGCTTTTGACCCCAGTCGACGGGCCCACTCGGGATGGATGTGTTGGTTTAGGTTTTGGGACTATAAAGAACACCCATTAGACCAGCCATTGATCTCATACTCCACAGGGGTCCGTCTGGTTTTGGCAAAGCCTCCTAGCCTTTGCATCTACATTAAAATGGCTCATATGATGGACAGTTCGGATAAAATTGAAGTTGAAACCAGTCTGGAGCATGTATTTGTCTTTCACAATTTAGATTATACTGTATATCATATTATGTTATTATACTTTTACCACCAGTAAAATGTTGTTTTTCATTTATTAGGAGGTTTTGAGTGAAAATACAATTCACATAAACTGTTACTACTATTACATATTCATGTTTTGTTATTTAGCTTTGTGTACATAACCACACACATACCATCATTGTTTTACTCTATCAGAACTAAAGTAGTTATAGTTTTTGAAAACCTTAGTGAAGTCGCCCACTGAGCAAGAGGTGAGATTAAGTTAACTCAAAAGAGCGGAATTTTATGATAAAATAGTGATTTATAAAAATTTGAAATTTTGTTTTTTTTGTTTTTTAGTTCAGTTAAAGGATGCTGGACAATCATCGAAATCAACCACAAAATATCCATTTTATTATAGCAGTCACAAACATTTTGCCCTATCCTAAACCCTAAATACGTTGAGCTTCGGAGAGCATTCACAGTCCAATTCGATAGAGTGAAATTACTATATGTAATGAAAACGTTTAGTTTCGGTTCATTCATCTAGGTGGATGTTAATTATTTTGCTCTGTGGCTCGAGTAGTCGACGGTTGACTTATTTGATGCTATTGTTATTAGCATTACAATAATCCCCATGTTTTTGGTGGATATGCAATACATTTTACGCCATATACTCTCAAATTATAGCATTAACGAATTCGTTTAAAAGTTTAGACTATCAATTCTCATTTCCGGTTATCCAATAAAACACACGAATTCGTAAACATATTTGAGATGCCAAAGAGAATGTTTGTGAACAACTAAATCGACGTGTCAGACAGTAAACATTTGGGGGATAAAACGTTGTCTATCGCACATCACTCCCAACATTGTTGATCTGTCCTCTGTAAATACATGGAACTGAATAGGATTCATTACATTATTGTGATAGTCAATCGAACACTTGTGTTAATGATGCTGTATGGAAATAAAAGGTATCAGCAATCTGGTACATACTTTTTCCTATTAGCTTGTCAACAACCTGTATCATGGGTAAGCGATGGGACTTCCAAATTACGAACTCTTTATTTATAGTGCAAGGGTAATCAAATAAAATCAAATAATCCCTTTTCCCATAGCATTTGGAATGAGTGAAATACAATTAATTACACACTAATATCAGACACGATTTAGGCTTGATTTAATTTTAACTAAACATCGTTATTTAATCAAGTGTACAAATAATTTGAAATGATATCGGTTTTGTACGGGTTTTATAATTGAATTTCCCGAAGAGGGGTGTTTTACACTACAAAACTACAATTTACGATCAAGTATTTTGGGTAATGTTTTATACAACAAGACATAATTAATTTCCAGATTTGTGTTTATATTTAAAAAAAATGTATACGTGTTTCATCGTGAACCTATTGTACAAGACTCTTGTCAGTAAATAAGAAAATTGATTAAAATAACCAATAGGCAACTGTCATTAAATACTATTTTAAAATATTAATTTGCAGCAAATATTTGAGAACACATTTACAATTTAATGTACCAAACATAATTAAGCTATGGTATTTTTTCATTTAAATTGACAATATTAACACATAATTGTGTGGTTAGATGACTATGTATGACCTTTACCAGTTCGATATATTACGGGATCGATTGTTAACCGTAATATTTGTCATTGGATATCCAATTAAATTATATTTCTAACAAAATTTCAATGTTAGATGGTAAAAGACAAGGTTTTGGACCGTTCCTTACAAAGTACGTTAAGAAAATCTATACTGTGAAAACCGCAAAGAAACTATACAAGTACGGAAGAGACTTTCAGTTAAAAGTCTTATATTTTCTTACAACTTAGTTTTATCCCACGACAATTCAGCACAAAACACTGTTCCAAAACAGCAGCCCACTAGGAGCCACTAATTATGCAAGTGGGCGGAGGCGGCACTTTCGCCGTACGGAGAAGATATCCTATAGAAAGCGGAAGCTGATAACATGATGAAGGTACGACTAGAGCTGTCGACACTTCGAAACGTCCATTGTACCACGTGATCACGCCCACGGCTGCATTCCACGCTTACAATCAGCTGATTGTTGGATCAGCTGACAACAATCAGCTGACTCCTTTATACGAGACGTTTTCAAGTTTCACCCGGCAAAAAGTTCTGAATATCTTTGGTCACGAAATATCTCGTGATCCCACAAACGGGTCTTAGCGTAGTAGCAGTTATTGATGTTCAAATGTCAAGGACAGGAATTATGGGATTGATAAAAAATTAACATGTATCATGTAGTAATTAGATATTATTTTATCAGTAATGTATGATATTCCTGATGATAAATACTCAATTAAAACATGAATTGCTAGATCTCAATTTAAGAAGTGTACATTTTCTGATGATATTGTTTTTTTCTTCAAATCAGGTAAATGAATGGTTAATTTGTATATAAGTGAAATAAATAATCAAGAAGTTTTTTAAGTGCATAAATCAGTATTAATTTGCATTAAAAAGAAGTACGATGGCGAATATTTGGTCACAATTCCATTAATAAAAACTGCATTGCTATTGCAATACAGAACAAACTAGTAAATAAACGCTCTTTAAAAAATGTAAGTGATCCTGATGTTATTTATTTAAAAAAATATAATATTTTTGTTGGTCCTAAAATCTTTATATTAACATTGAAAAACGAGAGAATTTTACACAACAACGTAAATAAACTTTGATTCGAAGCTTTAGTGATAAGTAGAAATGATTTATTGTAACTTTGATAACAAAAGATTTAAGTAAGCACATTACAAAGATAATGAGCTATTTAAACTCATTGCGCACTATTGAGTACATGTTTACCAACTGTTGCAGCGTTTTTATCTATGGCAAATAAAAAGTAAATTTTTTACAAAAACTTATCATGTTTCGCAATGAAACAACAACATTAATCGTAGAATGATTTAGAAAATTCAACTGGACCTACGTTTACTGCAAAAGTATTTAACGTACAGGAACTGTATACAGACAAAACAAAATCCACATAATATACTAACAAAATTAAAAATAGAAACCGAAATAAAACTTGACACATCACAATTGGCACAATAAATAATTTTTTGTGGTAGGTGTAGTTAAAAACGACGAAATAAGTATAATTTACTCCTTTGACTGTACTACAGAACACGATAATTTTGATGATCCACGAAAATTTTTACAACACATCTAACGAACCTATCAAAATAATAAAATAGGTTTAAAAAAAAAATTAAATAGGTTTCACCAAATTATGAGGTTGTCTCTCAGGTTTCGTACGGATTCAATCGAACTCCACAATCTAAACAACGAATAAATCCCATTATCGGGACAAAAACATGAATACTGGAGCAAATTACTTATTCTTTTCTCCCGTATTCGAGGGAGAGACTAGAGTAGCACACATCTGCATAGTGTCCAGTGTGACAGTACAACAAAGGAGATGGTAATGTGACAATTACACAGTTCAAACGTTCCTACGTACGTTGAAAAACAACAGAACGAGAAAGACGCACTAGGTTTAGAATTTATATTTTAAAAACTCAAAATATTGAGTGTAGTATGAACTCAGCGATGGTTATTTTGTAAATTAGAAACTTAAAAGAAAATCTGTCTTGATGAAAATCTATATTGTATTATTTGCCGTTCTTTAAGGAACACAAATATCAATTTTTAGATTTTCAATCGACAAACAAAGAATATACAGTATATCATCTAACAATAATATTAAAGTAGGCATCAACCTTTTGCGTAAACTTGGTTACTTTAAAATTCAGCATTGTTTACTAATTTTATTTTGCTTTCCAACGATTTGGTATAATTCCAATCCAGTTTATGAGGAGAAAGAAGCAAACAATTCGGATTGCATACAAAGCTAAGATTTACCAAATTAGCCTATTTTTATTTTATCCAATGGTGTGGATTCCAAAGAGCATTTAATAGTACGTCGATCGCTTGAGGCAATTATACAAATCGAATACACAATCACACAGGAGAAAATTTACACTTATACTAGGAACTGTCTTTTTTCCTGATCAAATAGCTTAACTTAGTTTGAATCAAAATCACAACATTACGTCGTTTTGTAAACCCAGTCCCGAGACAATATTCAACAATGAACAACTTCTGCACGCTGTACTTATAATGTCTAAGTTGCACCCCTACCCGGTTGTTCTTTGGCAAAATATCTATATATAATTCACTAAACAGCACCTTCACATAGAACCATTACATTTTTTCCCGTAGTACCAAGAAAGTACCAATAACGTTGTAAGCACTGTATTTTATAATCCCTCAGAAGATCTTGCCGCTCTGTACATCAACTTTTTCCACACTCTACTTCAAAACTTACCCAGTCGGATATGTGTAGGTTTTGTAAGTCAGTGGAAGTCTGTGCCGCGTCCGTCTGAACCTTCCCCTCTGAGACTTTGTCCAGGAAGGAGGAGAGCTCCAGAGCCTCGGCGACCAGAGCTCTACAGACATTCCGATAGTGAGACTCGGCCTGCTGGGCCAGGTGGGATCTGCACTTCTGTGGAACACATTGGACGAGTTAGAGGGCGGAGTCTAGAGAACACGTGTAGATGGTGAGAGGGGATGAAGAAAAAGAAAAGGACACGGAGTTGGCAAAGATGTGTGGTTGGGTTAAAGGGGAAGACGATGAAGGGAGTGCAACAAGGGTAAAGAAAATTGCAGAGTAGAGAAAAAGGACAAAAAGATGATATAGCTAAGGGAGCCGAGGATTCTAGTGGGAGGTAACAACAAGGAACATGGTACGATAGTGATAGGTAAAGGAGGAAGACACGGCAAAGTTTGGGGACAGTAGAGGATGTAATTGAAAGTGAGGGATAATGATAAGGAACTTGGTGCAAGATAGTGATGGGTAAAGGAAGAGGACATGGCAAATTTTAGAAGAGTATGGGATATAATTGGAAGTGAGGGATAATGATAAGGAACTTGGAGCAAGATATTGATGGGTAAAGGAAGAAGACACGGCAAAGTTTGGGGACAGAAGAGGAAATAATTGAAAGTGAGGGATAATGATAAGGAACTTGGTGCAAGATAGTGATGGGTAAATGAAGAGGACATGGCAAATTTGAGAAGAGTATGGGATATAATTGGAAGTGAGGGATAATGATAAGGAACTTGGAGCAAGATAGTGACGGGTAAATGAAGAGGACATGGCAAAATTCGAGAAGAGTATGGGATATAATTGGAAGTGAGGGATAATGGTAAGGAACTTGGAGCAAGATAGTGATGGGTAAATGAAGAGGACATGGCAAATTTGAGAAGAGTATGGGATATAATTGGAAGTGGGGGATAATGATAAGGAACTTGGTGCAAGATAGTGATGGGTAAATGAAGAGGACATGGCAAATTTGAGAAGAGTATGGGATATAATTGGAAGTGAGGGATAATGATAAGGAACTTGGAGCAAGATAGTGATGGGTAAATGAAGAGGACATGGCAAATTTGAGAAGAGTATGGGATATAATTGGAAGTGGGGGATAATGATAAGGAACTTGGTGCAAGATAGTGATGGGTAAAGGAAGAGAACATGGCAAATTTGAGAAGAGTATGGGATATAATTGGAAGTGAGGGATAATGATAAGGAACTTGGTGCAAGATAGTGATGGGTAAAGGAAGAGAACATGGCAAATTTGAGAAGAGTATGGGATATAATTGGAAGTGAGGGATAATGATAAGGAACCTGGTGCAAGATAGTGATGGGTAAATGAAGAGGACATGGCAAATTTGAGAAGAGTATGGGATATAATTGGAAGTGAGGGATAATGATAAGGAACTTGGTGCAAGATAGTGATGGGTAAAGGAAGAGAACATGGCAAATTTGAGAAGAGTATGGGATATAATTGGAAGTGGGGGATAATGATAAGGAACTTGGTGCAAGATAGTGATGGGTAAAGGAAGAGGACATGGCAAATTTGAGAAGAGTATGGGATATAATTGGAAGTGAGGGATGATGATAAGGAACTTGGTGCAAGATAGTGATGGGTAAAGGAAGAAGACACGGCAAAGTTTGGGGACAGAAGAGGATATAATTGAAAGTGAGGGATAATGATAAGGAACTTGGTGCAAGATAGTGATGGGTAAATGAAGAGGACATGGCAAATTTGAGGAGAGTGCGGATATAATTGGAAGTGGGGGATAATAATAAGGAACTTGGTGCAAGATAGTGATGGGTAAAGGAAGAGAACATGGCAAATTTGAGGGCAGTAGATGACATACGACCGGTAAGTTGGAGACTACTAGCCTATTGAACAATTTTAATGAAAATAGTTCAAAACTCTAATAAAAAACCTAACGGGCTTTATACCCAAAAAGTCATTGAATAACCCAATAGAGTGAACGTATCTCTCCAGTTAGTTCATTGACAAGTAGTTTTATATTCAAGATCCACACAGTTTGGATACGCTGATAACAGGTTTGGTTGACTACGATCATTTATCTTATGCTTTTGTATTATTTTAGGCAATTGAGACAATTTTGAAATAGGCTCTTCATGTGGTACCTGAATGACTTGGTCGAGAGAGATGTGGGGGATGTCGTCATCGCAGTCTCCCGAATCCCTCTCGATGCCTTCGTCATCAGTCTCCGCGTGTTGGGAACTGGCACGTTCATCTGAAACAAAAACACAATGTCAGACTGTGAAAGTAATGGCAAATAAAAGAAAATTTGGAAAATAGTTAACACATCATTGAGTGCTCAAGAACTCTTATCTATGGTCAAGCTGTGGCCAGTTTGGTCGTGCACTAATTGCGCCAAGCCCTCAAAGGGTCCCAAAAAAGTTCCTTAGTAGCGCCAAGCCCAAGGCCAGGTAGGGGTGAGTTACCGGCAGATGGATGCCCTTGTTTACGTGTCATCCTAACCTAACCTATCCTAACCTAACCAAACCTAACCTAACCTACTTAAATATACAGTCAAAGAGGGCTGCCACTTGGCGCAGTCAATGATGAATTTATGTTTTGGTCCATCATGAACGTATTTCAACACTTTATTCATGTGTTACTGTCGACAATAGTTTTCTCTCTGAGTTCTTCATACCTAATTTGACAGCTGATATGTTGATGAATATAGCTAAATATTCCTTCAAAATATTAGTTAGAATCACAGTTGGTTGACATGCGAAACACAAAGGTTTAAATGTTAAATTTGTAATCATCCTTGGAGTATTGTTTAGTGGTGTTTCCCACAAGAAGTTTTGCCCTCAGCATATGTACTTTAGGTACTTTTGTATTTTACCGACCACAACTAACGTAACACCTACCTAACATAACATAACTTAACCTAAGGGTAGACTATGTTTTAGCTTAGGTTAGGAAAGTTTTTGTTATTTAAACTAATTGTGTCTGTCAGCAACAAATTTTTAATGAGGGAGAAAATTAACATGACTCGACCAAATTAAACTACAATAAAATGTAAAATCCCACACACTTTCGTAGAGCCCATAGTGGCAGATTGAATTACACTGTTCGGCGCGCTATTAAAGTAACAAATTACTCGTAGACGGGTTTAAATGGCTGGAACATTAAATCGGCGATATCAGGATGTGGGGAAAGTGAAGCATTGTTGTAAGTGTGAACGCTCCCAGGGTGGGAACTGAACTTGGAACTTGGCAATGTTAACATAGCCAGGTACAACAGTTCGTTGCACTCGCTGCAAAAATAACTCGGTAATACATAGTATAATCGTATTGTTTAGTTTTAAAACTATTAACCTTAAGTTAGGTGTGTCTCTCCGTTATGGTGAAAGCATACTGTCCTTTGATGGAATTTTGATGTAGCCCCGAACATTATCGTACAAATTAGGCTATCTGTGACTAATTCCTAAGTAAAATAAACATGCAATACCGTTTTACTTTTCTTCTAGATTTACAGCATAAAGATTGACGAGTGATTACCTACCTTAATCAGGTTGAAATTATGGAAAAACAACCTATTTAAAAATCCATTTTCGTAAACTGTTTCGTCTGTATCTTGTTTACTATCTGACTGTGGGTAAACAAACATTCAACTGAAGGATCAGCTGTCTGCTTACAATTCATATTTAAACCGTTATAAAGAAAGTTTGTCAGCAACACTGGATCTTTTAAAGGGAACCCTAGAAATACGTAATTGAAACGCAAGGGGGACGAATACCTTAAGAATTTACCTTTTTCATCAAATACCAAGATAGCTGTGTAACCTATGGACCTAAGGTAGCAAAAAAATAAAATATAACATTTAAATGTTTACCCACAGTGAGAGGGTTAAAATTAATTTTTTCTAACATATATTTTATACAGTATAGATGGATTAAATAGTTGACAACATGGTAATTTTTCAGTTTAGCTTGGTTTAAAACATTGTTCACCAATACAACAGATGGTGTGTATACCATAAAACTCACTATGTCTAATAATCGATTCGACTTTATTTGTTTGTATTGAAAAAATAGCTAAGCTAATGAGAGTTTCATACACAGTCCAAGGTGGTGCGGGAGGATGGGCGCCAGTCTAGAGTTTGGACCGTTTCCGCGTCTCTCCAGTTTCACCCCAGCAATGCGGCCTACAGTCCATAGCTCACACGGGAAAGTTGACCCTACGTTTGATTATTGTCATTACCGACTGTTTACTTAGCATTTGCACTTGCACACGCGCATAGCCTTGCCCTTGTCACTAGCGCGGGAGAGAAACCGATAGTGGTGGGAATTATAAATCCTCATTAGCAAGGTAAGACTTGTATACGACCTGCGTACCTTACTGGCAAGTATACTTTCCGTGCAGTAACTTTTATCACAATTTATTTTAGAAAAAGGCATAACTTGTGAGGTTGATAAGTCTGATTCGAACATGATTTGATAGACAAAAATATCAAATAAAATAGGCTAAATACTATAGGCAACTTTTCAGAGGGTTTAAGTAAGATGCGAAACCATTCATTCGGAGGTATTTGATTTTAAATAGATTTTAAAGCCATTTTGAAATAGATTTTGGTTAGTTCTGTATGAATGGTCTCAAACATTAAGTGACCTTTTGAGTATAGATTAAAGAGCAAATATTTGAACTTGTGAGTGAAATGAAATTAATATAACAATGAATAGTTTGGTTGGTAATATTTATCATTCGCACCATGAACAGATAATGAATTACCTATCAGTACTAACTGTTACATGCAAATTACACTTGACATAAAAATTGTATTACGGCCAATCAAAAAATTGGTTTGTGCAGTGGTGTAGCATTTACATTGAGCGATGAGCTGTTCAAGAACATTGTGTTCCATAGCCAACAGATGAGCAAGACAAGATAATCAAAATCACAATATAGTCCTTCGTGAAAACCCCGTACTTAAAGTAACTGAAAAAAATCAGTTAGCACCTAATAACCACAAATAACTGAACTCGGGAACGTTTTAACCAGTAAATAAAACTCCTAAACGTACAAAACCAAGCCCCGTGCCCATTCATGCACGTCCGTCCGTTTTTCCACCAGACTCGACGTCAACACACAACCAACACAACCTTCTCGGCCAATTACAGACCAACACCGCGAGTGTGTGCAAAAACACAACCGTGGAGGTCAATGGACCTGCCGAGCGATAGTGAGGTCTAGATATCCTGGCATTCTAAGGGCAAATTGAATTAGATGAAGTAAATTAGATGGTCGTGCATTAATTGCACCAAGTCCTCAAAATGTTCCTTAGTTGTACGAGGTTGTACCAAGCCCAAGCTAGGTAGGGGTGAGTTGTCGGCAGAAGGAATGTCCTTGTTTACGTGTCCTAACCTAACCTATCCCAACCTAACTTAACCTAACCTCACATGTAAACTTCTGTAAACTGGGCATGTAAACTTCACTTCTAAAATACAGTAAAACCACATAGAAATAAGTATTGACGAAGCAAAAATGTATTATTATTTATTAGAAATTAGGGGTGTCCATGTAAATGTGCTGGTCTTACTTTTTGTGTACGACCTCCAGAGTTTCCAAGACTATACCTAAAACGTCAAGTAGCAGATTTCTTTCCAAGCATGCAGCAAGAGTTCGCTACTTGTGGAGAACACAACCTTGCCCTTGGTGTGTACACCAGTTCACAGTGCTTCTCACCGGTCCAATTGCCGCATTGTTTGCAAATGTAGTGATAAAGTGTGCCGAGGAGTGCTGTGAACCACGGGAGAGACGCGTCCCTACACGCTTCACTGCTCGGCCAACCATCGCCGTGCGACGATGAGAACATCACTTTTACCTACTCAAGGAAATATAGTTTGACGATGGTGGTCTGGGATAGGGCCTACCTGCGGCCAATGAGTACAAACTTTGTAATTTGGCTGCAGGGGCGGGCTGCGCCAATTGACTTGAGTCGGGTAGTCGGGTATTCCTGAATTGCGCCAACTACTCCAGGGAGCCACCCGATACGCTCATTAACTGCACCAAGTGGCCGTTTTTGACTGCATAATTGAGTAGGTTAGGTTAGGTTTGGTTAAGTTAGGATAGGTTAGGTTAGGTTAGGATGACACGTAAACAAGGCCATTTCGTCTGCCGGCAATTCACCCTTACCTGGCTTGGAATTGGCGCAACTAAGGAACACTTGGGACCATTTGAGGGCTTGGCGCAATTAAGGAACTGTTTAACACAATTAATGCACGACCGTTTATACCCACCAGAAAGTGAACTTCCAGGAAAGGTCAGGATGTTTAATTCCCATGTTAACTCCGGTGAGGCCGAGGGTGTAGAGACGATCCCGTCGCTGTGAAGTCTGAAGACTCCGTCACGAAGCAATAATTAGCCGTGAAACTCGAGGACTGACCGGGGAAAGTGATAGAGTTATGTAAACACCCAAGGTCAATGTCACCTACAATTACCGTAAGCTGTAATTGTTCTTATCTGATGGAAGGGAATCGTCCGCATGGTGCATCATAATGAGTGGTTTCCTGCAGAGGTTGTACACATCGTACGTAATGGTTGTGGACATCGGAAAACGTTTAAAATATTGCACTCTGTTTTATATGGATTAGAAACGGTTTTGAATGTTTAAGCGGTTATGAACCGAAAGGGTGGTGTATAGTCTGTATGACGGAACTTGTCCCCTGACCATTAGACCATGGTATAGGCAGTCTCAGGTAGACCTGGGCAGGGGACATGTTCGGTCATACAGACTATAATACATGTTAATAAATGCGATATGAAAATTAGGGATTTTGTTTTTTATGGACGTGAAGTGGAACGCGAAGATGAAGAAAGACTTATGGAGAGCTTTAGATATTTTAACGTACTTTGAAGGTTTGTTAAACATGTATCAAACACAATTGTACTTTAGGTGTAGTTCATCTACGTAAGTATTTTAGGGGATAGCAGAGTTTTAAACTGTATTGTGTGATAACGTTCAGTTTTAACGCTAAACAAAATACAACATTGTTAAGATTTTATTTAACCAAATAATATATTCATCTTTTGACAATCAGTTTGACTTCTATTGAAGGCCTCGTCCTACGGCGGCCTCCACCGCATTCATTCATCATATTCATGACTTCCGTCGTATCGATCATACTGCGGTGCAACAGATAGGATCATATGCCACCACCTACTATAGAACCTACTAACTATAAGTTTTTTTTTTATAGAACTTTGAACATAAGTTAAGAGT